TACTCTTGCTGTATGCATTCCTGCGAATCGTTTCATCCTGCCGCTTTGACACTTGAATGTCTAAAAGTGAGGTGATTGTCTGGTTTTTCTTCCAGTGTAAGTATATTCTTGTGCAAATTGTTCATGACTCAAAAGGGAAGAAATTAATAGTTGTAGGTGCTGCCCTAAAATGAGTATATTATTAACGGATGTACTGAATAATACATACTCATCTAAGGTACGTACCGCCTCGCTTTCCAACTTAGTGACGAATAGCTCGGTGATAATCGGCTCCAAGGGATCTCCCACTGCCCCACCGTCTATTTGTTGGAGTTCTTTCCTTTGGAAACGGAAACCGATTTCTGATGTGCATTAAAGTGGGAGACGTTCCCACTCCGGTAGAATTCGGCCAACTTTTAAGTTATGCTGCTCGAAGCATTGTAAAGTGCATTTGATTGTCTCAAGCAGTGACAGTCTAATGGAAAATGCTTCAATATCCGTGGAAGCCAAGAAAATATCTTTAATTTTCAAGTCGCCTACTAGTTTAGCTAGTTCGAAACTGTCGTTTACGTTATATTTAGACATACGATCCTGAGCTGATTTATACAACCGTGTAAACCATTTTGCCAGCCCGTGTTGTGGAGAATGGATCATCGATAAGATAGGTTTGAGTTGAAGTCTTGGTTTGCGTGTCTTAGGGAGACCATGGAACCGAAGATACCTGACGAGCGAAGTGTGGCCAACTCTGATCGATTCTTGTCTAGAACAGTTAACCAGGCAGTTTTGATACGAAGTCAAGTCGGACACCGGAACTAAATCGAAGAAGATCCACATTCGCCTTCCTTTCAAAGGCGACGATGTAAGCCTGAATTTTCAAGGCTGACTGAAAAATGTGGAGACGCACTTATAATGCTGCAAACCCGGTCATTCTGCTCACAACCACAGGCATCGTCAATCAACTCACACAACAGCTCCTGCCACTGTTCATCAAATCACACGTAATATACCAGTCAGTCACACTGCCGATAGCTTGAGAGTGGTAAAATATGTGATTATTAGACCCTGTCGTATTCGTGCTTAACCTGATGTAGTGTTTAACGATATAAACTGTTGTTTTCTTTCACAATCTAACAGTTCAGATGCAGTGAAATCTGCCTTCGTATAAATTGTGACACCTAGTTTTGTTGTTCTTTCTCTTCAAGTTTGTCTTGGTCAATAACTTTCTTCAATGAATGCCAATTGTTAGACTCGATGCTTGAGCATCCACATGCGATATTGCCCTTCATCTCTGTTAAGTTTTGTCCTTTTCTCTAAACTGTCAACTGAAATTCCTCATATTCCCCTAATCAAAACAGATGAGTTGGTTGTGTGGCGTAACACAGAAGTGAAACAATTCTACCAGGCACTAAGATGATGATGATGAACTTGGCTGATGGGAACTGCGTGGGTTAACTGGCATGCAGAAATTCGATCTACGTGTTGATACAATAATGATAACCAGCATCCAAAAGACTACTTTCTTTTTCTGCACTCCTTTTTTCGAAATTATCTATTCTCAGCATGTTCCATCCACCGCCGTGCTCAGTTCCTTTGCAGCCAAATCATCCACGTTGATAGGGAAGAGGTTTGATATTCCAGCGGTCAGTGAAGGCCTTCATCAGATCACACCGGATGTCCTATAGTCTTATCCCATCACTAGTATCATCTAAATTTCATATCGTCATCGTGTCCACTGAAAGACGTTTGATCGGCCGCAATATCCTTTATGAAGATTCCCGTTGCAGTGGTGTACTCTAAAAAAGGAAATAAACCGTGTGTTAAAACAGGAACTTAGTACAGAAAGTTTGTCGCAAGGGAGGACGAGTTACATGTGTGTGTGTGTGTGTGGTTTGTGTTCTGAGTGTATTCCAAGATGAGTCACGAGTTATACGGATACGAGTGGCTAATCGGCTCGTTAATGGTTTAAACTTGTTAAAGGACAGAGGGAAACCTTAGCGGAGCTTGGGGATGGGGGAGAGTGATGGAGCTATCGGTTGTTCGTTGTTGCTGTTTCTCGTTCATTTTTTGCTGTTGTTGTTGTTGCTGTTGTTGTTGCTATCGCTTAGTATTCTATTGCGAAATAATCCGATCAATTTCAATTGAGGACGAAAATACGATCTCCGCTGCATGCGACAATCACATCTGCTGAGTATCTGTGTGTGTTTGACCATTCACTTGGCAAGAACTATACCCAGATGTTTGATTCGACTTCGGGGTTGAATGTGGATCATATCGATCGCCAACTTAGTACAACTTGTTTGAGGGACAACCGAAGCGAATAATAATTTTTTTCATCCACATCCCATCACCCCTCCCCGAGCACTCCCTTCCCGCAAAACAACATATTACAAGAAGAGTTGGGAGTACTAGTTGTGCCCCGTATAGTAAAAACATGGTGATGCTGAGCTTTTATGTGAATGGAATGACATACGCAGGTGAGGCGCAGGGAAAAAATCGCCACGCATGGATGCATGCAAACAGCATATAAGCAAGTCAGTAAAACAAATCCCCGGTCAGATGTAACCGAAAGAATGAAACGGAACGCCGGACACAAGATACGGTGTTAACGGTCTATGTGTGTGCGTGTCACAAAGAGGAACCTTTCTTACGGTGGCCGAAGCACGGCGTGAAACCGAACGCCCCAGCTGCGGGAAAGGATTGAACTTCATTGATGACAATAATGATCTGTTTCATCAATATAGAAAAAGACAAGTGTCGCCAGATACTAACATTTCGTTTAATCTTCTCAATCTTAGAACAGACAAACATGTATGTATCACATGGGGTTGTTCAATAGATGGCCGAACAAATGCTTCATGAAATCAATGACGCAACCGATCGTCAAGCGATTACACAAATCCAGGGTCATCTGTTTAAAAACANAAGACATACAGTTGACCCCATTTCGCCTTCCAAATCACTTTTACGTAATTGCATGCTAAACTCTTGCAATTAGTAAGGCGCTGCTTATTTGATTACATCACCCAACTTTGTGTGCACAAACGTTTTTGATACAATGGACCCACTTGCCGTGGATTTTACCTTCTACTTCTATGTTTAGTGATCTTTTTATGCTTGTACAAGTTCATTCACCATAACTGAACAACCCTATGTGACATATATATGCTTGTTTGTTTTAAGTAAGCGGTTAGGAGGATTAAACGAAATGTCAAAATCTCGCCACATTTTTCTTCCTTTTATATTGATGAATTGAATAAACGGGACCCAATGCTTCAAATAATAATCTGACTAAACCATTTTATTGATTAGAATAAAGCACCAATTCGTTTAGTGTCATTTCATTCGAGCCAGCAAAGTTAGCAGTTGACAATTCCACCCACTTGTACTGACCGTATGCACGTGGATTCTGACGTATATCTTAAAATTCCTATTCGTCACAGAAAAAACCATGGAAACTAGCTTATTCCCTGTCATTCTATCAACCGTTGAATCGGGTTGCAAAGGTGAGTCCATCAATGGAGTTGCGGTAATAGTGATGAGACTGTTAACACACACTTCAAGCGAGAATAAGCTTGGTGCATCCGAAACGAATAATGTTTCAGCAAGGTTTGTGAAACACTTGGAAGTTCAAATAACGCAGATATAAAATGGTCTCAGGAAACGTATAAGAGAAATTATTGAGAATAGAGCCACACCTCACCAAACACGAGGATAACCCAATGACCATCATACGATGAGGGTTTTACTGTCAGTACCAAGATGGAACCTGAGCTCGAATAAACCAGTGATATGTTCCGCCCGTTCATTCCAAACAAGAGATCTCTGTTTTTCTCTGGCAATGAATACATGGCCAGAGCGTGAATAACTGAACACGAGCTAGTTAAACATTCGGTGTTTGATTTACGGCTTAGTTTGTTGGACTGTTCCAGCATTTCCATTAGTTGATAAAAATGCCACCACACGTCACATGTTCGGTTTATTGTATTTTTCTTCAATTGTTCATGCACTATGTTAGAGGGCAGTCTGGTTCTAGCCAGCGAGATCGGCGGGTTTGCTTCTTTGTTCGTGTATACATGCCTTTGTTGCCTAGCTTGATGTCGCCACTGTAACTGGAATCACCTCCGTCCAATTAACGAGTTAGAGTTCCAATCTTTCAGAATAAACACGCCATCCATTATTATATAATTATTATATTATATATTATATTATATAATATTATATATTATATATACTATATACTATCTTATTATATCAAAGGTTTCCCAATACCATGAAAAAGAAGTATGTTCTTTGCCTGGAAGTGAAAACCGTTTGCTTTTTTTGGAGAAAAAAATGTACAGCTTAGATGTATGCGCACGGATATTTAAGGATAGGCTGCCAGGCATAACTCCAAAGATACAGTACAACAAGTTTGTCATTTATAGTTCAACAAACAAGAAATGCAAATCTGCTGCCAGAGAATCCAAGCTGTCTTTTTGAACAATTCACCAGGGTAGATGCTTATTAAATCCACAATTTTTATCGTTTATAAATGGACATCTTATTGAATAGCGTCGGGAAATTTACAACTATTCTATAGTGTTCCACACAGAACTAACTCGCCGTTTAAACCACATTGTTATACACCCTCTTCGCGTAGGAAATTCCCCTCAGCAGTATCATTTGCTTGGAACCAAGCGGGACTAATTATTTTCCATGGAAAGAAGAAGGATCCACTGTGCATCGGGAACAGTCTACGAATGCCGATCCCAATTCTAATAGTCTGCCGACCCTGGATGACCCAGCGCAAGGGGATCGGTACAACAATACGCGTCCATCGAAACCAAACCATGTGTTTGAGATGCGATGTGTTGATGGTACGGTTTATTTTGTCGGACAGCTGGCCTATGGTGAAAGTATGGACACAGAAGTCAGTGGTGCGTTCAATAGCAAATCGCGCCGCAAATCCCATTTCCCCACACTTCCATCCGCTCAGTCTTATGCGAGAAAAGCATCAGCCCCAATGTATGGTCTCATCCACTTGGTCGAACTCCTCCCACAAGTAACAACACCATCACAGCTACTGGACCCGAAAAATTCCATGAATTGGTTCAATAGACCAACAAGTAATTGTGTGGAAGAGATTGACGGCACTGAGGGGGTTTACCGCGCCGCCATACTGCCCCCTCCGCCGGGAACTGGATTGGATATGGCTAAACATTTGGAAACCGCTCTACGTCAGTCCCTTCTGCCACTTACTTCGAAAACCAGTTCACAAACCACGCGTTCCTCAAATGCAAGTTCGAAACCGTTGAACAATATGGATCCGGCCTCTAGTCCAGTCTGTGATCTGATCCCAGTAAACATAACCGAAGGGGCTGGCATTCCATCGAGTTCTAAATTAGACTCAAATACCACAGGGATTGAACCAGAACTGGGTGATCAGGACAATTTCAATTCACCATCAATGAATCAACTGGAACTAGCGGCGGAGGATGAAGAAGGCACAGGTTCGTCTGCTCTGTATTTTCTCAGTACGGTCTTTTGGGTCGTATCACGAGAGAGAGCAAAAGATATGCATGTATCAATTATCCACAATAGTATGGTTTTATTTCCAGGGAAATTCTGTGCCGATGAAGCCACCGGTTAAAATATTGCAATCTACAAGAGACGTTAAGGAAGCGCATAAAAAACAGTGGATTCTGCTGAAACTATGTGGTACTCAACTATGTCCATCAACATAAAGCATTCAGTCATTTTGTTCTGACCGGCAGAAGTATCTCATGATACCACCGCATCGTAACGTCTAGGTAAACGAGAGAATTCTAGAAATTCCTGTCTGTCCATGGTCTATCGTGGCCAACACGTTTCCAGAGCAAATAAAAATATGGTAGTTATCTTATCCGCAAAGTTTGTTGTCGCAACGTCCCTGAAAAGAGTCTGATAGTAACAGTTCTGATGGTCAATCTAGAGAACATTACAATTTTCAATTTCACACCGACATAATTTTGAGTCTGAGAATGTAACTAACGGAAGTAAAGCCCTTGTATGTATGTATGTATGTATGTATGTATGTATGTACGTATGTATGTATGTATGTATGTATGTATGTATGTATGTATGTATGTATGTATGTATGTTGTATGTATGTATGTATGTATGTATGTATGTATGTATGTATGTATGTATGTATGTATGTATATATGTATGTATGTATATATGTATGTATGCATGTATGTATGTATGTATGTATGTGTGTATGTATGTATGTTAGTATGTATGTATATATATATATATGTATGTATATATGTGTGTATGGTTATCATCAACATTGTAAAAAATTGTAACATAAAATGAAGCAAGCTTCGCAAATCGGAACGAGGTTCACAGCGTGTTCAAAGTGAACGAGGAAATAACAGAATAATGTTATAGTCAATATACGGACGGAGTTGCAGCCCAACTGTACCGTTGTAAGCGAGTCAGATCCAAAAGTATCTGACTATTCTGAGTTAAAACAAATGTTGAACTATCCTATTTTCTACAAATGTCAATGTTGCAAAGCTTGATTGCGAAATGAGAAGAAGATATGGTCGCATGCTGCATCACACGTTGGTTGGATAGGGTTTGCGCTACGTGCCCGTTTCGTCAGGCAAATACACCCCCCATTACTGCCATCAGCTTAAAACACGCAAACATCGGACGGAATTACCACGGTCGAGGTTCAAGAATTAAGGGTTTTGTTTATAGCTGGATGAGAAAAGGTCTACTAAAAAGGACGTTACTTGTGAACGGTATTTATTATCCTCGGACTGGAAATGTATCCACCTCTCAATAACGGAATTCATTTTAATTAGAGATATGGAACGCCAAGCATTTACTATTTTGTGGCATTGGGTTTTAATTTATTTCAAGGATTTGAATGCAAAACAATGTAAATTTGATATTTTTCTCACAAGACTATAGCATTTTAAACGGAAACACCGAAGCTGCACGAGATGTGCACATTGGTTAAACCTTCTCCAGACAAAAAGTGGTGCAGCGTGCGTCCGCCACGCCTTCTTATTTCTTAACCAAGCTTTGCAACCTTGTTATTTGTAGAAAATAAAACAGTTCAACATTCGTTGACCGCAGAGTATATCCTGATACTTTCTTTATCTGACTCGCGTACAGCGGTGTGACTAGGGAACTACTGGTCGTGACTAAAGCATTGCGGGTTATAGCTCAAGGTTTCGGGAAAAGGTGGATTTGCAGGGGGATAGAGAAGGTTTCTCAATTATCATACCGGAAAATAAATCAGACTTACTGAGCTTCCCGTTACGTTTTTCGTATACCCGCCATTTGATATCTTCCGTCTTGGTTCATTGGATTTGATAGGACCTAGATTCTCCTTTTTTGTTATACTCTCAGTGGCGATTTGGTTGATCACTTCTTCCTTCCCGAAGCTCGGCTGAACAACTGGCTGTTTAAAAGGAGGGAAGTAAAAGACTACTATTCATTGGAACTCGCGAAATTGTACACGATGCCACGGATGACTCTCAGACAACGTGTCTTAAAGAACAATTTCCCAAATCGTGGTATGAACAAATTGTCTGTCTAGAGGTTCCAAAAGATAATGCTATACATCAGCCGTGACCAACTACGATAAAACGAACAACCAAAATTCTTCAGTCTATGGATTCCTTACCCACAAAGCAACGAATGGACTCACAACCACGATACAAAATTGATTATATTGTGTTGCAGCATATATTACTCTATCTTCCCACGGAATGATTGTTCAACCTTACACCAGCCTTCAATATCCCATTGGTCACTCCTTTCCTTGTGATACTGTCTGTCATTTGTCACGAAATTCCAACATGAGATTAACTACAGTCAAGTTATGCTAAGTGAGGTTCGAATAGAGATGTGAGTATACATCTTTTGGAGTATCAAGCTTGTATTAGCCCGTTCGATTGTTCAGAGGCACCAGGCACTCTTTATTGTGTTGGGTATAGGTTTCACTCCTTGGCAGATCGTTAATTCCCCACGAGGTAATGCATTCAAATGCGATGAAAACGTTTGTGCTAACAGACAAAGAGCACTGGACAGCTGTTTCATCCTGTTTGGGACATTTCAGCAGTGCGTATACTTTGGGTCCCTGTCAAAACTCGAACAGCCAACATTCCGGTCGGGACTTCAAACCCTCCACCTTGAGCTACATCTTGAATTATAGCATTATCTTGTTTGTTCAATGTGTGAACCGAATAAGCACCACAGTAATAGTTTGAATTGGTATTTAACATATGATGACCCATGTTGCATGCGTCTGAACGGACAGCGGATAACGTCTGGGCACGCAAGATCACACAGCATTTCTCCACTTGACCATAAAGTAGCGTTGCTTGGAAGAACATTCTTTGTATTTCCGTCCACGAAGATAGCAGAAAGGACAAGGTAATACTGTGCTTTAGAGGTAATTCCTTGTACCTACACGACAAGGAATAGAATAAACACAAACACGAAGGCATTCATCGCTCGACAGGAGAGTAGACAGCAGAGTGGAGCTAATCCAACGAGGATGGGTGCAAACCTTGCACGATTTCTTGTGGTAATTAGGACTGGCCAATAATTTGCTTTAGAATAATGTCCTGTATTCCTCACACCAGCTGTTATGCAAAAGGGATAGCAATAGAATCCGTGATAGAATCAGCATGCTCAATATTTTTTATTATTACGCAACCTTTGGTTTTTGTTGAACTCGATCGACTGGCGACAAGAGTATGTATAACACTTTCACCAATGATTTCATTGTTCTTTCCCTTCTGTTCTACAGGAGGTGCTATCAGTAACTTCATTGACAGTGGGCCATGCAGCGAACATGTAAGTTGAACATAAATTTCATGATTTCCCTCTCCTTCAACTTCCATGTAATAAAACGGAGAATGTTTTACTTTTTAAATCTACAATTTCAGCTGCTCAGATGCACGTTATTTGTACTTCTACGAGCAGAAGCCCCCCCCTCCCCGCGCCGCTTCGGTTTTTATTTACATTTCGATCATTCATGTAATCCCTCTAAATAAGAAAAATAAGGAAAAAATAAGCACGAATTGGAATGAACTAGATGAGTTGCTCAGTTGTTGATAATGGGCCCGTTTTTACACATGCGCACGCAGGCGCGCGTCCGCACACGCACACACCCAGAAATGTTCAACCTCGGTGGGGTACACGGAAAGCCAGCTGCTCGGAATTCTCACGCTTTATGGATGTTTTGTGGTCCTATCGAATCTGATAAATCAGGGGCAAAAATAATGTTCATCTGTCACTCACACCGTTCTGGAGTGCAATTTTCTCATTATCAGAACGGGGAACAGTGAGGCAACAGACGCATCCCGTTGATAGCAATCAGAGCATACTGTAACTGGCGTTCAGTTTCAGTGGTGACAATTAGGAGGAGGCACAGAGTGGAGCTGGTACCAGACGTCTGTATACGTGTGCCTACTTACAATGAGAATGGTCTTGCATACCGAGCAAGTAGCACAGCAAGCTGGATCAGAGCAACACGTTCTGGTAGCACTAAATCCGTTGAGGAGACATCACGCTTAACAATAACATACAGTGTGTAAACTGTTTTATGCATAAGGGAATCTGAAACAATTCGATCGTTAGACCTCCTTTTGGCATGTAGAACGGTTATTCTGTGAGATGGAGAATGCCTCAAGAAACGTTTTCGTTTCAAAACTACATCTTCCTATTATTATTTCACTGAAAAGAACGTGTTCCAGATCCCGCAGTTTGTTTCGGTGAGTCTAAATCATTCTCGTACATAGCAGGTAGGCGGAAAATGTTTACATGTTGACAACTAGTGGTCCGGTTTAAGGATTTTGTTCGGAAGGCTATTCGGAAGTGAAAAGAGGAAGATGCTATGATGCTGGAAGAGTGATTAGTACGTCAAGCAATGAGATTTGTCACTCATTCCCCTCACCCTGACAACTTATGTTCTGTCACGCTAAGTTCAATTGCATCTAAGGTAACTGATTCCGTTTCCATGATGATTACTATCTGTTAGGCAAATTTTCTTTGGGATTTTATGTACGTCAATATCATCTATAATTCTATCATTATGAATGATAATTCTTTATCTGTTAATACTAATTGGAGGGTGACCTTATCGCTTCTCTGGGACAAAATGAAACTGAATTTGGATTGGATGAGCTCTGAGGTAAACAGGTGAAGAAGGGGAGGAGGTGATTGCATGTTACACATTAATCATGATTACATGGTGACACGAATGTGTGGTTTATTTATAAAGCAACACATTTTGAGCATGAAAACAAAGCAGTCGAAGCTGTATGAAATCCCTAGACTGCTCAACCAAGGGAGGAAATACATCAATTATGAGTAGTATATTACTGCATTCACCTGGTAGGCTATCCAAATCGTTTCATCGATATTGCTGACTACGACTAAATAATGATGGATTTGCTGAGGTGATAATCATGCTTGAAGGAGTTCGAACGATATCCTCACATTCTGGCGCGAATGACACATGTACAGGAAGAGAGTAACAGATGGACAGATTGGAAAAGGGATAGATTGAATCGAATTCAGAAGCAGCTAAAATCCACCGATATGGCAAAAAACGAAACTGGTAGATTCAGTTGCAATGAC